CTATTTTATTTGGTTTGATTTTAACATGTCTGATGGTATGGGAAGCTATTCTGAAGATAACAAGAGGCATTATGGCAGCCATTGTTGATTTCATATTATCTTGTTTTGAAGTCCTATATCATTTTCACTGTTCTGTTTTGATTGGTTTTATTCTGTTTTACTTTGGTTTTATTCTTTTAAAAATTAAATTAAAAATAAATACTCCTGGCTGGCAATGATAATAAGGTTATATGTGATGACTTCCAGTCTGTCTTAATTCAAGTGATGACAGGTATCTTTACAAAGAGCTATGAGGTCAGATCATTATACTTGAACTCACATTTACCAAGAGAGAACCAGAAAACACCTAATAAGGTAAAAATCTTAATAACCTTTGCATCTTACAGTCATAGAACTCAACCTGCTAAAAACAGAAAATGTGCTAGTCACAGAACCACCATGTAAGCTGAATTTCAGTTCTCCTTGAAAAAGTCTAAGTACTAGATGCAAACAAGTGAGACCTTGAGACTTGGAACAGAAATATCCAGGTAGACCCAATCCAGAATCCTAAGCAACCTCAGCGTCCTTTGACAGTGTAAATAGAAACAGCCTGTCCCTCATGACTCTAAGATTAGTCTTCCTTGGCTGAAGATCCTGTAGTCATGTCTCCCTAACAGAAGGGTGGCTTTCTTGCAAGGTAATTCTTCTTTCTTTTTCTTTTTTTCTTTTTATCGGTACCAAGGATCGAACTCATGACCGTCTGCTTGCAAGGCAGGTGCTTATGCCAATGAGCTAAACCCCCAGTCCCGGTAATTCTTCTTCTCAAGTTCCAATTCATCCATCTTTACTCACACCCACACAGGCCAGGGCACAGCATTTGCTGGGAGACAAGTGCAAGGTCTGCTCCATAAACTAATCACTTACACACACAAAAACTATTAAACTTGCTACTTTGTATTGGTAGAAAGAGGAAGTATGTGTGAAAATGGATTCTGTATTAAGCCAATAGAATATAATATTAGAATGGATCAAATTTTTGTACATGAGTCGAGTCATTTAGCAGAGAATTCAGATTTCATGGTTAGTCCTATAGCTGGAAGGGGCTCTAGTATTTAATTGGTTGGCTAACTGAAACTTAGGCTAGGGGCTGGGGATTTAGCTCAGCGGCATAAGCACCTGCCTTGCAAGCAGGAGGTCATGAGTTCGATCCCCGGTACCAATAAAAAGAGAAAAAGAAAAAAAAAAAATGTTGAAACTTAGGCTGAAGGAGAGCCTATATTTACTGAGAATGAGAGACCATATTGTCTCTCACATAAGATAGAAGGGGAGATCCAAAGTCTTAAGGAATGTGGGATACTGGAGGGGATTTCCGATGCATAACTTGCTCATACACAATCCTCCATCATTACATCACCAGAAGGCCCACAGGACACGATCTGACTGTCATTAGCAGAGGGAGCACCATCATAGTGGACTAATTATTATTCTGGCCCCTGTGTTGCCCTGCCAACCCAAAACTTACCATGCTGCCACAAAATAAGAATCTCTTACTGTTTCTTTTCTTTAGCTCTTTGCTCTCTTTCTTTCTTTATTTATTGTCTTTTTGAGACAGGGTCTCTCAATGCAGTTCAGGCTGGCCTTGGTTTCACTTTGTAGCCCAGGCTGGTCTCAAACTTGGAATGATCCCCCTGCCTCAGTTTCCCAAGTACTGGGATTACAGGACTGTGCCACCACGCCTGGCTTCATTTTATTTATTTACTTTTTTTGGTGTTTTTGGTGGCACTTAGTATAAAGTGTAATAACTTTGTCTGTTTTCATAAGGCAGGAGGATTGTTCTGAGTTCCAGGCCAATCTGGACTACAAAGTGAGTTAAAGGCAGCCTGAACTGGCACAGTGAAACTCTCTCTCAAAAATAAAAAAAATTAAAAAAAAAAAAAAAAAGTTACCCTCCTAAAGAGATCATTTGTATCTCAGTTAAAAACCTACCCTAACTTATAAGACTCCTATGTATTTCTTCAGCTGACAACATGGTCTGCTTTGCATGTATATTATGCCCAGAAAAACATTTTCTTTCTAGAATTCCCAACATAGGAAAAAAAATATTCTTTTTAAGAAAGGTCAGTTCAGTGTCTTTATTATCCGTTCCTTAATGAAATATTTAAACAGGACCTATCTTCTCCAGAAGCACATTTTGGCCAACAGTCACATGTTACCTCACAAGGTAACCAAATTCTCAAGTATCATTAAAGTATATCTTCTGACTCACTGAGCAGATTGTGTACAGGCTGGAACACTTACTAAGAGTGTCATGAGGTAACTTGCCTTATATCAGATAAATGGTGGGTTCATTAATACCACAGCATTTCAAAAGTCAACATTTCACTTAATCGCAAGCTTTTACTTCCTGCTAGCATTTCATTTATTTCTAACAACTAGGAGTTGCTTTCATTCACGCAAATTGTTAGTCAGGCATTATGGTATACTCCTGTAGTCCCAGCATTCTGGGAGGCGGAGGCAGAAAGAACACAAGTTTGAGCCCCATCTGGGCAATACAGCAGTTTAAAAGGACCTTGTCTCATAGTAGAAAATAAAAAGCTGCGAGACTGTAGCATGCCTCTCTCTCACGAAGACCTGCACTCGGTTTCTCTGGGTATATACCTTTAAATTTCTGCCTAGTAAATCCCTTCGAGCTTCTTTAAAAAATAAAATAAAAATAAATAAAAAGCTGGGCATGTACCTAGCTCAGAATGAAGGATCTGGGTTCAATCCCTTTTGGGGACCCAGCTGGGTAAGAGTTAGACTGTGACTGTGAAAGGACTTCTGACTAGGGACCAAAGGTTCATATTCCCAACCTCCAGGCTGGGAGGGCACTGACACTCCCTATTCTACAGCAATAAAATGGCAACCTTAGAGATCAAAGGGTCTCTTAATTAGCAAGGTTTACCGCTTTGAATGTCTCTGTTCTAACTTCTCAACACCCTGCTCCTTTTCTCAGTTTTTGCCTCAGATGAGTTCCCTGAACTGGTAAGGACTCAATCAATACGGGCAATCCAGAGAAGTCTTCATTTCAGTTCCGAGAGAGTCCTGACTTCCCACAGACCACATTACTTGCTTTTTTTTTTTTTTAAATTTAAGCTTTTTCTATATACTTGTCATAAGAGATAGTGAGTCCAGCCAAGCTCTACATCAATCCCCAGTGAGACAGAGAGATACACAGACAGACAGACAAGACAGGAGACAGAGAGAAAACTGCTACATAAGTAAACAGTTTTATCACTTTAAGAGTTTAACAAAGACAAAAAGAGTACTAAGATCCAAGCAGTATATTTAGTTCACCTATTAGCTCATTAACTACCTCAGGCTCATTAGTGTCATAACTTAATTCATATTCACACTTTATCAAAAATTGGGGAATACTGTACATTTTGGTCCTGCAAGGTTACATCTACAGAGCTAAAATCCTGAATGTTAAAATCTTTAATGTCAAAAGACCTATTGACTACCTACATACCATATGCTCAGCTTTGTAAGGATCTGTGCTCATAAGGTTTTTATAAATTTTTTGAAAAAATACTTTTACATAATTAATACTAGGAATCTCCAATAAAAATCTGCTTTGGGGGTAGGAGGATGTAGCACAAGTTTAGCATGTCGGGGCCCAGTGTTCAATCCCGGCATGTACACACATCCACAGTAATGATGCAGGGCATCTGTGCGCAATCTGTCCGCTAGGAACAGCCGTGGCTTGGACAGAAACAATAACAAAAACATAGACCTGAAAGGATGCTGGACAGGCCAAAGGAAATGACACATGTGAAGGAACAAATGGATAATAAAGTACTGGATATATGTTGGTGCGAATGTCAATAAAATACAGAAGAAACCCTCTGTCATCTCAAAGAATTGGGACTATGTGTGGGTTCCTCAGAGAAGTTAAAGCATCATAGAGATAAATGCCCATCACAACTATTTTACTTAATTTATACCTTATGTAAATGCAATCCATTCATCAATCTTCTGAGCACAGCCAAAGCCTTGTCTTTAACACTGGGTCCGCAGACTGCAACTTCAGTGTTTCATGCATGCACTGAACCCGCACACTATTTACAAATGCACTCTCAGTTCTTATAAAGTGATGCAAAAACCTCAACACTTACAAAACAATCAGACATCAAAATTTCTTCACTTTGTTTAAGCTTTCCAACATTTTACTTGTGTCTCGATTCCCTCTAATTTGACAGTGAATTTCGGAAGGAAACCATTTTCCTCACCTTTGTTTCTCAGAGCATTCAACATATTTTTAGCAGCAACAAATCCCCTTTTCATAGTAATATTTCATCATTTACAGAATAAGGGATAACAAATGTATCCAGCATAAGTTTGGGAACAAACACCTCAATTCTTGATAAAGAAATGATCAGGAGGGTGCAAGTATACAAGCCTCTCGTCAAGAAGTCTAGCCGCCACAGCAAGCACCCAGGAGATGCCAGCTGTGTGTTTCACTGAGGTGGTGAGCAGCACTGATTTAGTCATCTGGTTAAGTAGAAGCCAGTTAAGAGAGTATCTGCTGTATAATAACCCAGGTCTCAAGCATAGCTATGAACAGAGTTTAAAACAGTTCCCCTCTTACATGTGTACTGCTGCCTTTGTATTTCCTCAATCATACATGTTTCAGTTTACTTAAAAAACACTGAAAGCAGAAGATTAAATCATATTCAAGAAAACTGAAATGAAGCAATAGAAAAGGAATCAGACACTTCAGTAAAATGTGATGAAATACAGTTTGACTCCTATAATAGAACTCACTGAATCAGTAAGAAACATTTTAAGAAAATTACAAAAGATCTAAAATTATTTCATGAAATTATTTTGAAAGATAAATAAAACTTTAAAAGACAGTCCATCTTTAAAATGTCATTAACAATATAAAAGTTTTGTCAACACTATCTGTTTGAAAAATATTAAACTTAAGATTAGTTACATTTCTTTGGTATTGGGGGATGTTTGAAATGAAAACTTACTTATCTCACTGGAAACCTGATTTAGTTTATCCTGTGATCTGCTGACCAGGACAATCTTCATTCCACGCTTTGCTAACTGAAAAAGTAAGAGATCTGAATCACATTTATGTAATTTATTTTAAAACATAAAGTAGATGTATCTTCATTCTAAGAAAAACTACCCAGATAATTCATATAAAAATAAAAACCCAAATGTAATGAATAAGCAATCTAAAATAAGTAATTGACAGAAAGCATTCCCCAAAGGATTATCTTTACAAATCAAGAATTTAAATCTCCAAGAGATTTAGAAGTGGAGTAACTTTTACTTTTCATTTTGGATCTGTATATATTGTTGGGGTTTTAAAATTTGTTAAATGTCTACTATTTTCTAAGTTAAAACTTAGCTCTGAAAAAGTTTTTGTTGTAGGTTGGACACATAAAACAAAGATCAGAGGCTGGATACAGTGGCTCATGTTTGTAATCCCAGCACTCAAGAAGCAGAGGAAGAAGAATCCATGAGTTTGAGGCCAACCTGGCTTACAGAATCGCATTCAGGGACAGCCTGAGCTACACAGTGAGACTTTATCTCGAAAACAAAACAACCACCACAAAAAAAAAAAAAAAAAAAAAAACAGAGGACTGGCAAAAATAGTAGTTAAAATGTTATCAATTCTTAAAAATATATTCTATTTTTAAGTTTTTATTTGTGTATTAGACTTTATGGACAACCAAGGCAAACTAAGATAGTTAACTGCCTAAATTAATTTTTTAAAAAATCTCCTAAGAAGCATCTACCCAATGCTGTGTAAGTGTTGTACAGAATGAAAAAAACTTTACAAAAATGTATTGCTACCCCAGGGACACATAAATACAGGGCAAGAGAAACGTTTGCACAAAACTTAGTGAACTGTTCCACACAATTTATAAATGAGCAATAAATTTGGTGCTGTGAGCTATAAGTGATTTAGTAAAGTAATATTCCAAGCCTAAATCCTAAAGTCAGCTCTTATTAAGTAATGAGTGGTACTGCAAATGAAGCTATGGAAAAACATTTTTAATAAAAATAACAAAGGCTGGTAATTGGGAAATTAATCTGCTATAAAACCACTGAACAATCCATTAGCCCATATTGATAGTTTAAAAAAAAAAAACTTTTAACAGGGTAGGACAAATAAGAAAAAGCCCTACTTTACAGAAAAACACAATCTAAAAATGCAGGAGACAAAAAAAAAATGCAGGAGACATCTAGAAAAAATCACCATTTCAAATGACTGTAGTGATAATTAGAAAAAATTACCAATGGATCTTAAAACCACTAGACAAAAGAAATAGGATATTTATAGTCTCAAAGCACCATCTCACATACTCCTTATGTATGGTGTATGGTGTTCACTTTCCAATGAAGAATTACAGTAGAGAGAATCTTAATAAATTGTTTACCTTAACATAATCAATAATGGAACAAATGGACTTAGGTACCTACTAACAAGATTAACACAGAAGGATAAATATCATTTGCACAGCATTCTTGCTAAAAAAAATATTTATCCTGAAACTAATCATGAGGAAACGATCAAATTCATTAATTCATTCATTTACTTATTCATTACTTTTTTTCTTGGGGACATGGTCTCATTGCATAGTGCAGGCTGGCCTTGAACTCACTGTGTAGCCCAGGCTGGCCTCAAACACAGCCTGATCCTCCTGCGTCAGCCTTCCAAGGGCTAGGATTACAGGTGTGCACCACCACTCCCACCTTCTAAAATCCATCAAATTTAAATTTGTATGTAAAACAATCAGCTAAGTGTTTTTCAAGTATCATTATTATACAAGAAAAATACCCATAAAAAAGAAAAAACACTGGTAAGGAATTCTTCAAGATTAATGAAGTCCAGGAGATATGATACCAAACACAATGCAGTCTTCACACAGATCTTGAAACAAAGAAAAACAACTACAAAGGATGTAACTGGGGCACTTACATGTGGGTTGTAGGTTATATAACAGTAACACGCCAGATAAAACTTTTTGTGTGAGCACTGCATTGCAGTAGGAAGGTGAATGTTTAGATCTTAAAAGATGCATCCTGAAATACTTAGGGTAAATTGTCATGATGTCTGCAACTCATTTACAAGTGGTCCAGCCAAATAACAATAATAATGATAATAACAATAATGGTAATAAAACAAAGATAACAAAGTGTTTGGTGGCCACTGTATTGTTCTTGCAACTTTCCTGCAGTTTTGAAATTCTTCAAAATAAAACGTTAAAAAGATAAAAAAAACCGATTCAAAGAAAAAAGAAAGTAACTTTGATAAGAATAAATGAGGAATTCAATGCACCTGCCAGCATCTTCATGATAACTGGGTAACACCTTTGCAGAGGGACACAACAGGGAAGCTTACCCAATGAGTACCGCGCCAAGGTTCCTGCTTTGTACAATGATCTTGAAACTATTTCACTTGTTCAGCTTTTAACTGCAGTGCAGAGGACTTCAACCCTTTGCCTGAGTCTGCCAGTATGTTACCTTCAGTCCTTGTGAAAATTACACTACGAACTACTCTAGATATCTGACTGCCTATAACACTATGTCTATCTTTTGGATTTTTAAAAACTGAAGACTGTCTGCAATTACAATAAACAATAAAGTTATACTAAATTTCTCACAATTCTAACTAACCAGCATAGAAAGCTTTATACTTTACATTGCAGACATTTGCTTTAAAATTTCTTGTTTACACACACAAACTTGGTATTTGTCACCAGACAGATTTTTTCTCTAAAACATTGCTGTACATTATATTTCTTATTTTAACTTCAAAAATCAGAACTGCTGTAAGAGATTATTCCATTTTTAAGCATAACAAGAGGCAAAATCTTTAAAAATCACCTACCTGCTCTGCATATGATTTTCCAATTCCATCAGTGCTACCTGTGACAACTGAAAAAGGAAAAATAGTAATAGGTCAGTTTAAAAACTACAAGGGAGAATTTCTTTTAGCTAAAACCCACCAATTAAATACACATTACCAAAAAAAAAAAAAAAAAAAAAGAAACCTGTAACAATACTTGGATGTGAAAGAGCAATAGCTGGAGGTTGCCTGCCAGTGGCAGGGGGTGTGCTTAGCACACATGAGGCCTGGTTCCATCCCCGCACCATAAAAAAAAGGGCAAGACCAGTTGTTCCCATGTGGGGTCGAATACGCCTCCCAACAGCTAACATTAAAGAGGTTGCAATATCAAGTACAGACAAGGATGGAAAGCAACTGGAACTCTCATATCCTGTTGGTGTACAGTAAATCAATATGATCTCTTGACAATACATACTTGACAATATGTCTATGACTAAAGAAATGCTCAGGGGTCAGCTCAGTGACACAGTGCCTGCCTCACCACTCCTGCTGGAAAAAAAGACCTGCTCACCCTGTGGCCCCGCTATTCTGGAAAAACAGAAATAACTGTGACCACCAAAACAATGTTCAGGGGAGCTTTACTCATGTCTGGTAGGTGAACGTACTTAAGTATTAATTACAGGAGAATGAATAAGGAAAATGAAGCAAAGTCATACAGTGAACACCTAACAGCAACAAGAAAAGAACTTCTGATATATGGAAAGTATGATTGAATCCAAGACACTAGGATGGGTGAAAAAGTATGACACAAAACCATACGATGATTACATTTATGAAGTTCAAGAAAGGGTGAGCCTATTTATGGTGATAAAAGTCAGATTGGCTTCCTTTGAGATGGAGGTAGATGACAAAGAAGGGGTACAAGGGAAACTTCAGCGACATAAAAAACATTATTTACCTTGTATATTTATCTCTGTGTGTTACCTTTATTGTATACTTAAGTACACACTTACTATGCTACATCTGATGCACTAAAATTGAGCATGATTTAATTTTCCTAAAGGGAAGTGTTTCCTAAGGCGAAGTATGGTTTTATTTTGTCTTTTTGAGATAGTCTCACTAAGCAGTTCAGGCTGGCCTTGAGCTCACTTTGTAGCCCACGCTATTCTTGAACTCTCAATAATCTTCCTACCTCAGCCTCCTGAGTGCTAGAATTACAGGCATGCACCACCTGTAACAGCATATTTCTTATAACCTCAAGAACTTCATGTAGCAGAAACATTTAGAAATTATCATAGGTCAGGCCACACCACAGTATCTTCTCCCTAGAATGCTGGAATCAAATGTGTTGCAAGTTCAGAGTACAGTTGCCTGCTTCAAAAGATAAGGAATGCCCTGAACTTTTATCGTTTACAGATTATGGAAAATAAGTTACAATGTAACTTGTGTGATTCCTTGTATTTGTCAAAAAACCAATTCTGTTAATTTACACTGTGTATTCAAAAATATGCCAAACACATCCCTATTCTTCCTCGTCACAGCTTTCAGTATCTCATAGGCTTTCATCATGTTCCAGCTCAGCCATCATCTTTTCAGAATTAAAAACAAATAAACAAACAAAAAAACCTTGCTAGAATTAAAAAGTCAGGTGCGGTGGTGCAGATCTGTAATACTTACACTAGGGAGGCTGAGGCAGGGAGATGGCAAATTCAAGGCCAGCCTAGACTACCTAGTAAGTTCAAGACAGCCTGGAGGACTATGTAAGAAAGATGCTGGGAAGCGGGTTAGGAGGGAGAGAAAATCAAAACAATTCAGAGAACAAACCCCCACGTACCCATGGTCCAGTTTCTCCAAGGATCAATTTGAGATTAATCTTGCTTCATCTATACCCCACCTGCCTCCTCCCACTTCAGATTATTTTGAAGTGAACCTCAAACATCGTATTATTTTATCCATAAATATTTCAGTATGCATCTACTATCAAAAATACAGTATTATACATATTTCTAAAATTGTAAGTAGCAACCAGTATCTAATCAGTATAAATTTCCCCAAATGTTTCAAAAAGCTTCTAATCATTTATTTGTAACAGGAATCAACAAATTCCGTATTTCAAATTTGTTAACATGTCTACTGAATCATGAAATCTGTCAGTTCTATCTAAAAACCTCACCACAAGCCCTTCCCTCCCCTCTTCCTCTCTTCTCCCTCTATTATGGGCTGGGTCTAGGTGTACCCCCAAAGCCTCATGCAGCCCTAGCTGGGGCTTTTTAGGGGTGGCTGATCTACAGTGTGGGATGCTGGGACTGATTCGTGATGTAGTGCTAGGATCAAGCACCCTAGGATTAAGGGTGTGAGTGCTGCCCACCCTGAGCAGCCTGGGTAAGATGAAAGAGGCAGAAAGACACTATATGAAGGCCCCTTGCTTGTTTTTGCTGTCTTCTGCCTGCCATGCACTGGTTCTCCTCTGGGACGCCCCTCTGCCATGCCACCCTGGCTTGGAACCAGTCTATTACAGACTGAAACCTCTAAAAACTGAGAACTAAATAAACCTTTCCGCCTTTTCACTCTGAGTGTCAGGTATTTTGTCTTAGCAATAAGAAAAGTAAGACATCCTCTGACTCTTTTTACCCTACCTTCCTTTCTCAGTATATTTGTTGAAGATACTGGGTCATAGTTTTATACTGGCTTTTTATTGACTGCATACTGCTGATAAAATTTAACATATTCCTCTGTCACCAAATACTTGGATATTGACACTTGGTCAATTCCAGGTTAGATTTTGGGAGGCCAGGTAAGAATGCGTCGGTAAGTGATACTGCTTATGTACAACATTACATTTGTTTTTGTTATATTAGCAGCCGCTCATGATTACTGCTGAGATCCATTATTTCATTAGGGATTCCAAAATAGTGACACTTGAATTCAATCATTCATCTTTAGCTATTAGCTGGAATATTTCCATAGAGAATTTATTCTTGTTAATTGGTTACCATGATAGTTTGTACAGGATTACAAAGTAAGTGGTTGAGACTTTTCATCTTTATCAGTTTTCAAAAAAAATGGTTCTCCAGCATTCACAAAGGTAACCCACGTGTTCCAGTCACTGTAGTTTTGCTTATGAGAGACATTATTAAAGATTTAAACACTTATTTTAAGAGTGAGCTATATAAAATTCAGCGTCCTACAAAGGCTCCTCCACCCTCGTGATTGCTGCAATGGTGTCTTTCTGTAACGTTTCATCACGTTAGTGTTTCTGGAGGTGCAGGGATGCAGTTTTTATACTGTGCCCTCTTACTGACTCACTAATGCTTCTCAAGTGAAGGAAAAGCTTTCCCCTCTCCCTCCTCTCTCCCTCCCTCCCCGACAAGCTTCTCTGTTTTCTCCAAGATCTCAGAACCTGCCCTCTTAGACTTTTAAGGCCTTATTCAAGCTCTACCACCTCCTCCACTCCTGACAGCTCCACTCAGAAGCAAACCGTTCTCTTCTCTCATCCCCAAGTGCTTTACACAGCCTTACGCCTTACAGCATGCTACCACTCCATCTTGAACAGCAGCTCCTTCCGTCTACATGGCTTTACTCTTCCACCAGATTCTAGATTCCTTGCTGTGGGATGTGCACAAGGCAGCCATGCTCAGTGAACATCTGCTGAATGCAAGACGCTCTGCAGTTAGGTTAGTTTTTTCAACTGCAAAAACACACAAGATTTAAGGTTGCTTTCCAAACCTGGCTTCCCAAAGGTCTTTGCTTTCTAAGTACAATGTCTTACATTCTTCTGCACTAAACACCACTATTTACAAAGTCTATTTACAAAGTCTTGTGTAACTAGATTATTCTGTCTAGGCTTACAATGGGAGCGAGCAGACTGCATATATATTTACAGCAATGAACTGATGGCGATATTACATTTCTCACTTTAGGGGCTTAAAATCCCTTAACGAGAAAATGCTCAAGAATTAAACTACAGTACAGTCATTCAATATTCTGTGTCTGTGATTTCTGGCTGCAATACATTTCAAAAGAACACAGAATTTCCATTATGTGTGTATGTCTGTTTACAAAATTGTCAATCCCAGGCCAACCTACAGCAGTGTAGCGTATTTTTAAACTAAAACCAGTCCTTAACAGCCCACAGCCTGGCAGGCCTGGAGGATCTAAAACTTGCCTAATAGATATCATGTCTTCCTTTTCTGATCTCCAGTTTTTTGGAATTAGAAGTAGACAGTATTAGTGCACCGGTGTTACAGTTTGGATCTGGGATGCCCTCCAAAGACTCATGTATTAAAGAGAGTCCTTTGCTCATGGAGGTGGGGGGAGGCTAGAGGAGCCAGTAACAGGACACTCCCTCTTCCTCTCATCTGAGCATGGTATGAGCACATCTGCTCTGCCGGGTGCCCCTCCACGAAGCGCTGCTCTCCTACCAGAGGCTAAGAGCAAGGAGTCCATCTGATGATGGAGGGGAACCTCCAAAACTGTAAAGCAAAATTTACTTCCTCCTTTTAAGTTATTATCTCGGGTTATTTGTTACAGTAACAGAAAGCTGACACAGCCTAGATCTTCCCTTATAGCACTGAAGTATTAAGTCCTCTCTTGCCCAGAGTTCTCCTTGCTCACCTGTGACTGTGTATCTTCCACAGCTGCCCTCTCCCACAGGGAGCTGCTTTACTGCCCTTGGTAGCATGTGTCTAATGACTGGATACACTCGGGGACAGGGGGAGCCTCCCTACCTTCACTTAGGCTTTTCTGAAGGCTAACCCAGGTTCAAAGCTTCCAGCGGCACCAACTATGACACCTGCCACACCTGTAGCAGTTTCATTTCTCCCTCTACTCAGCTCTTCGCCCTTCAGTTTCTTACAAGTATTATCCCCAAAACAATCCTCAGTACACCCCATCTACCGCATTCCAGTGTCCAAATCTGTTTCCTCATCAACTACTGTGAACCTACAACCAAGTTCTCTCTTAAAAATCAGTGTCATATATGAAAGTAACACACACATAGTTAGACAAACAAAGGAGCTGGAAAAGGCTTACACTGAAAATCAGCACTGACTCTGGCTTTCTATGCCCTCCTAGACCAACTCCAGAAGCA